ACGCAAACCAAAGATGCCTTTTAAAAAACAAGTTGACATCCTATTCTTATGCATGCCAGTGCTGTGTCTGAGGTAATTTAAGGTGGTTCTGACAAGTTCCTCAGCATCTTCATATCTGGTCACATGGGCGGCAAGCCACTCCCATCTGATCACATGGGCGGCAAGCCACTCCCACAAAGGAGGCCACACCCACAGAGTAGGTTCAAACAATTTTTGAAACCCACCACTGCAGGGGGGGGGGATGTTTCGCATGTTCATGCACAGGTCTAGGGATTCCTGCTTGAGCAAGGGGTTGGATTAGAAGACCTCCAAGGTCCCTTTCAACCGTTAAGCCTCCCAGAGCTCAACCAGCGTCCTGCACACTGCATGAGAGAAAACCGGTTTTGTGCTTGTTGTACGGCTCGTGTCTTTCAAGGACTTGAAAAAAACATCATCGTATATCCTTTGGTGATCTTTTTCTCAAGACTAAACATACTCCAATTGCTTCAAAGACCTGATTTCTAGGCCCCTGATCATCAAAGGTGATTTTCTTTGCCTCTCTTCCATTAAGAATAGCACCCGGAAATGGGGTCAGAGCTATCATTAGTCGTTTAAAAGATTGCTCCGTTTTTAATTTCAACAGAACAACTTTAATCTAATTTACACCAATTCTCATTAAAAGAGCTCTCCGAGCTGTTTACAATTAACGTAACGATTGCGGTTTAAAACAGTAGGTTAAAACGATAATCAGTGAATAAATAAAGCAGACAGTAACTCAAAACAGATGTTTAGCGCAAAAACGCAAAATAAAACAGTGAGATAAATATCAAAACAGGACCAGAAAGAAAAAGTAGGAGCTGAAAAAGCAACAACAACACAGTAGCACTGACACATTTATTGCAAGTCCTAAGGGACTAAAACAAGTCCATTATGTTTCAGTATAAAGCTCATACTGAGGGTGGCTCAGTGGCTAAACCCCAGCTTCTGCCAATCTAGCAGTTCGAAAGCATGTAAAAATGCAAGTAGAAAAATAGGAACCACCTTTGGTAGGAAGGTAACAGCATTCCCTGCTCCTTCGGTGTTTAGTCATGCCGGCCGCATGACCACGGAGACTTCTTCGGACAGCGCTGGCTCTTTAGCTTTGAAACGGAGTTGAGCACCTAGAGTCAGGAACGACTAGCACATATGTGCAANGCATATAAATCCAATAAACCTAACCTAACCTAAACCTAACCTAAACTGCTGGCCAGCTGATTGTCGGGTCTCTGCCGTGCGTGCATGTGGGGTGGGGCGCTTGTGCGTGGGGCCCTCACATTGCATTTTGGACCTGGAAGGCCTCCTGCACCAACCTGGAAGCCAAAACAGAGCCCGGGGGCGGGGGAGGCATGCGCCCTCCCCATGTGCCCCGTTTTGGGTCTGGAAAGCCTCCTGCTCCAACCTGGAAGTCAAAAATGGGCAAAGGGGGGGGGGCGGGATGCATGCGTGGGGGATGGCCGCGTATGCACGGGGGAATTTGCATTGCATTTCTGTGTTTCGCGTGCGCGCATGTGCATTTGCACGGGCGCACTTTGGGTCCCCGGCACCAAAAAGTTGAGCCATCCCTGAGATAGACGTTTCATGTCTCTCTCTCCGTCTCTGCCAAACGTAGCTTTTCAGAGCTCGCCTGCCTGCCAGTCCCCGACTGTTTTGGGAGACGCCAGATCCCAGACTTATTAATAACTAACCGTACAGAAGCTTTAATGATCAAGGGCTGTTTTAGTTCTCCGATTGCCTCTGGCAAATGAAGCCACATCAAGCGACGTCTGTGTGGGAGAGAGAGGGGAAAAAATACTATCTGTCCAGCTTCAGAAGGAGCTGACGCTGGCGAAGAACGGGTGGTCCTCGCATGGGGTGTTTTCTTTGCTAGCTGAATGACGGAGTTGGCATTTTCGGGTTGATTCTTTGTACTGCCTGAAAGAGATTTCCCCCCTGCCTTTGCGGTGCGGTGCAGCGCAGGGAGAGGAAAATGGTGGTTATCCAGGCATTGGTAGAGTTATAGAATCATACGGCTGGAAGGGACCTTGGAGGTCTCCTAATCCACGGGTCTCCCAACCTTGGCAACTTTAAGACTTGAGGACTTGTTAAGCCCTCAGCCTCAACAGGAAATGCCCCAAAACTCCCTTCATTGCATCAGCCCAAACTTCAACCAAACTTAGCTCAGACAAATTCGTAGGATTTGTATATGGCAACCATAGGAATCTGTCAACAACCAAAAGAATTACATGTTCTTACACAGGAACAGGAAGCTCAAGTGAAAAGCCCAGGAGAAGGTATAAAAACCCCTCATTCTCAACTCCATGGGGTCAGCTGCAGTGGGGGGAGGGTTTCCAGATCCCAACTGGCACACTGTGATGGGGCCGGAGGTCCACCTCGGGCACATGCACTACGCATGCATGCACACCCAGCTGCTCGGTGAAGGTTGCTCATGCGTGCGCGAATGGCCCAGTTGGCTTAAAAGCAGGTAAGGAATGCGGGCGGGCCAGTGGGCCCACCAAAACACCATTCCGGTATGGTGACTACTGCTCCCAACTGCCACCGGGTACGCCCATACCAGGGCGTACTGGCTCGAACCCACCACTGGTCAGCTGCTTGGTGGTTCTGAAATATCCATCTGCTTCGGTTCCAAGCCGAGAGAACAAAATGGAGGCTGGAGGCTGATTGGAAAAAGGATTCATTTGTATTGATGAAGCAGAACCACCAAGAACATGTGTGGGTAGAACACATGCGGGAGACGTGCGTGTATGGGCAGGGGGGGGGGTGTTTTATGCACGTGGCGGGGAGCCTGGGGGAATGCTGTTCTCCCCCTCCTGTGGCCCATTTTTGGTCCCAGGAGGCTGTATCAGTGTTCCAAGTATCATCCAGAATTAAATCAGAGTTCAAGACATAACTTTCATCAAAGTTCCAATTTAATAAGAGAGACATGTTGGTACATCTGTGGAAAACCCAAATCTGAAAGTTTCCTGGGTTTCCTACCCAGTTGAAAGTTCAAGACCTTGCCCCCACACCCACAAGTCCATCACATGGTCCAATCTTCCTCTGCCACNGGGAAAAACTCCGCATTGGCAACAGGAAGGGCATCAGGCCAGTAAGCATTCAGCTCCATTCAGTTGCCCAGACTCCACCTTGCAAGGGATTATGGGGTCGTTAAAAGAGGATGAGCATGATAAAGCTCATAGATTGGTGTGCCAAAAAATCCAGAACATTTGATATAAAAGTGCAATAAAATTAATACCCAGGGAAAGAGTAGCCAAGAGAGCAAACAGGCATCTGGAACAGATGCAAAAAAAAAAAATTGATGAGAATTCATAACAATATTTTGCAATATAGGAGACTGAAGTTTGAAACACCTCCATGTGAATTCCATGCATACCTTCAACCCGAGTTGGATCTCAGATTTCTACAGCAAGCGCATGAAGCGCAAAGTTCACAGCCTGCTGCAGCACCTCGTTGGTGGATGTGATTTATGACCCAGACTGAGGGGAGGGGAGACACGGGGGTAAAAGTTCAGACACCATTTACTGGAAATCAGTTTCGGCTCTGCAGGAGAACATGCCAAAATGTTGCTCCTAATAAATGAATGGATTTCTTTTGAACTTTGTCTTGAGGCTTGTAAATTAATTAGGGCATCCTTTGGAAACTTGACAGAGAGGTAGCTGGGAAAGGGAAGAACTGGTGGGGTCTCACAAATGTCCGCTTGCCTCTCAGCTTCTTATTTATGTAGAACCTCCGTCTCCATCCAGGAATTGCCTTGTGACTTCTTAAACTTTGTACCTGCAGAACAAGGTGAACTTCGTGGATGACAGCTTTCCCCCCGGCCCAAAGTCGGTTGGCTTTCCCGAAGGAGACAGCGTCCAGCAGCGAGTCAAACAGTGGCTGAGGCCTCACGAAATCAACTGCAATATCTTCAAAGACCGGTCGGTCAAGTGGTCAGTTTTCCGGACACCCCGACCTTCAGATATCCTGCAGGGACTCCTGGGAAACTGTTGGTAAGAGAACCGAGAGCAGATGGGCCTGTTGTGTTACTTACATGTACCCACGGGCCACACACACACTAGCATCCCTCCCTGCCTCCTGACGGCGAGGCGAGAGCGCCACCTCTTGGCCACCGCACCACTCTCGCTTAGCAACTGAAACGTTGGAGTCAGTGCAGTGGTGGGTTACGGATCCCGTTGCAACTGGTATGGTTGCAACGGGGTCCAGCGTCCTCCACATGAACGCGCGCATGCATCCTACCCTCCAGTGAGACCTCCACGACACTCCGGCTGCTCGGCGGAGTGTCGCGCAGGCGCTGTACGTGCTGTGCGCGTGTGCAGAAGCGCCAAAGAGTTTAAAAACAGCTAAGGACGACGGGCAGGCGGGTGGGCCCTCCGGAGCAGTGTACCGTTCCGGTGCTTCGGGCAGGCACTGGTACGCCCATACCGGGGCGTACCCAACCCACCACTGGGTGAGTGGTGGTAGTAAGTTGAGGCCCACTTGCAGTTTCCCTTCGCCCTTTGTTTTCTGTGGCTTGCACAATCCCACCGGTAGTGCCGATGACAAACGGATCTATTGAAATTTGCCCTTCCCTCCTTCCAGGATTGATTTCATCCATCCCCCCCCCACCTTCTTGATGTTCCTGGAAGGCTGCTCTTCCAAGGGGCTCATTGCTTTTGACCCTTTCGGTCCACTCAAGGTTGGTCAGGTGCTGCCACCTGCTGAAAGAGGAAGAAGAAAAGACTGTAGACCAGAGGCGTCAAACTCGCGAAGACACGTTGTCACGTGACGTATCATAACTTCTTCCCGTCACTTCGCTGGGCGTGGCCAGCGTGTGACGCATCTGGGCTGCAGGCTGTGGGTTTTGACACCCCCTGCTATAGACAGAGACTGCCCTCGTGTCTCCCTGATGAGACTTGTATGCCGCTTTGCCACCGAAACCTGAACGATGCAAGTAACCCTTTTCAGTGATCACAATTCAGATGCTTGGCAACTGGTTCACATTTGCATTTAATACAATACAATACAATAGCAGAGCTGGAAGGGACCTTGGAGGTCTTCTAGTCCAACCCCCTGCCTAGGTAGGAAACCCTACACCACTTCAGACAAATGGTTCTCCAACCTCTTCTTAAAGACTTCCAGTGTTGGAGAATTCACAACTTCTGGAGCAACTTCTGTTCCACTGATTAATTCTTCTAACTGTCAGGAAATTTCTCCTTAGTTCTAAGTTGCTTCTCTCCTTGATTAGTTTCCATCCGTTGCTGCCTCTTCTGCCTTCGGGGGGCTTTGGAGAATAGTTTGACTCCCTCTTCTTCGGGGGCCACCCCTCGAATGTTGCTCTTGGCGTTAGGTAGAACTTTGAAAAGTGGGAGGTTGTTCAGTGATTCAAGGGCCTGTTCTTCGAGGAGCTAATCAGAAGCGAGTGGGATTGTAATAAAAAATTGAACAGGTCCCAAAGGTGCTTCCTTCCCCCCAAGTGCCAAACTGGACTTTCTTGTTCTTCTCTGAAGACTTTTTGCTTCTCATCCAAGAAGCTTCTTCAACTCTGACCGGATGGTGGGAAATGGAAGGATTTAGATGCAGATAACCAGCTGTCTGCAAGGAGTA